CTAAGAGCAAAACAAAAATAAGTAATATGCCAGGCGTTGGTGGCACACGCCTTTAATCCCAGCACTCGGGAGGCAGAGGCAGGCGGATCTCTGTGAGTTCGAAGCCAGCCTGGTCTCCAGAGCGAGTGCCAGGATAGACTCGGAAGCAATACAGAGAAAGACTGTCTCAAAATACAAATAAATAACTAAATAAGAAAAAAATAAGTAATACAACAGAGGAATGTATAAATAAATATGCCCTTCTGGACATAAAAATAAGGATTGCTGGACACCGTGACCCATGTGTGTAATCCCAACATTTGAGAGACGGAGATAGGAGGACTGTAATTTGAAACCAGGTTGGATTACATAAGGCACTGTCTCCAAGAAGCAAAATGAGAACACGTAAGAAACAAGGACCGTAGAAGCTGTGGGGACATATAAGAAACAAGGACCGTGGAAGCTGTGGGGACACTTGTCTTTTTATGTGGTGCATGGGAGGAAAACATATGTGTGAGTGTGAAAACCAGGAGTGTCTTCCTCAATCTATTTTTTTTTTTTTTTTTTTTTTTTTTGAGACAGGCTCTCTCACTGAAGCTGGAACTTGCCAGTTCCTCTAGACTAGCTATCCAGCGAGCCCCGGGAGGCATCCTGTCTCCACCTCCCCTCCCTTCACCGGCAGTGAGATCACAGGCACAGGCTGCCAGCCCATCTTTTAACACGAGTTGAGCCATCTGATTGAAGTCTTTTGTTTTCATGATAAGCACTTTACTGACTGAGCCACTCCCCAGTCCCGTGCATGACTTTTCTTGATAGCTTTGTGTTCCACATTCTCTCTGAATATTAATTTTCGTCTCCCACTTGACACAAGGGTTGTGGTTGGTATTTATCTTTGCAATGTAGCCATTGGGTTACAGGATCCTCTGAAGAAATCTGGGCTGGCCCTGGAGAGTGCTGGAGCTTCAGGGAGATGGATACTGTTGCTGTTGAGTCTTTATATCTCCACTGTCAGCCAAGGTACCTGAGCATCTTCACATCACAAAGGACAGTGGCATCTTGTCAGGTAGAATCCTGAAATTGTTCTTGTTCCAACAGGTACAGAGAGCTGCTTGGGGGCTGATTGAGGAAAGGGCAAAACTTGCCTCAGTTACTTCTCTCTCTTCTATCCACACCTCTCTGATACATGGCCGAGTTATGACTCTGCTACCTAATTTCCCAGACTCCATCACTCACTTTCTCTCAGATTCTGATAAAAGGAGATACAAAAGGAGACTGGAAGACAGGGGGAAGGGAGAAGTAGTTTAGATAGTTAGGTGCAGTTTGTCCTGTTTCCATGGTTACTTTACCTTAGGGCTCAATCAGTATGGTTTCCAGGGCTCTGTGTTCCTGAATATCTGATCAAACTGTGAAACTCTAAGACTGTGTTAATAAAATTAACCTTGGGTCAGGGGGTGGAGCCAGCAACCAGTTGACAAGAATTAGCCATAGAAAGGATGGCTTGATGGGAAGAGAGACACACAGGAAGGAGTAGGGAGGTGCACCAGGCTTTTTCCTTTAGGCTACCAACCAGCTCCCAAATCATGACACAGAGACTTATTATTGATGAAGGTTTGACCTAATCTTAATGTTTGTCCCATAAGTTATAAGAGCTTATAACTTAACCTGTTTGTCTTCATCTATGTTTTGCCTCAGGGCTTTTTACCTTTCCTTTCTTTATGTATATCTTACTTTCACTGCTTTCCAGGTCTGTCTGACTGGTGCTGCTTGGCTTCTGGTCCTGGGCATGTCCCTTTCTTTCCCTCTCATTCAATCCTCCTCCTCTCCTTTGCCTAGATTTCTCCTCCTACTTATTCTCTCTGCCAGCCAGCCCTGCCTATCCCTCTCCTGCCTAGCTATCCGCCATTTAGCTTTTTATTAGACCAATCAGGGGCCTTCGGCAGGCATGGTGAAACAAATGCAACACATCTTAATATAATTAAACAAAAGCAGCAGAAACAAATGCAACACATCTTTACACCATTAACAAAGGCAGAATAGACAAAAGTAACACATTTTTGCCTAGTTAAAATAATATTCTACCACCGGGCATGGGGGCACACACCTTTAATTCCAGCACACAGGAGGCAGAAGCAGGCAGATCTCTGTGAGTTCGAGACCAGCCTGGTCTACAAGAGCGAGTTCTAGGACATCTTCCAAAGCCACAGAGAAACCCTGTCTTGAAAAACAAAACAAAACAAAACAAACAAACAACAACAACAAATCTACAACAGAAAGGGACTTAGAGATTCAAGGGTCTTTTTGGTTGGGGACAGAAGGAGGGATGTTCTCTTGCTAGGCCTCAGGCCAAAAAGGAAGGTCAGCTAGTTGTTTCTTGGCTTCTCTGATCTAGCAGGCCTTCACCACAATATCTGACTCCCCAGTCTTTATTGGTAAAAGAACAATTTAGGTAAAAACAACACCTCTGCTTGTCCTTAGTTCTGGTTGCCACCTGCCATCACTGCTTGGTGTGGTCTCAGCATTGTCCTGTCTTCTAGCCCCTGAGAAGTCCATTTCCTGTACGCATATCCCCTCTATTGACAGACACATGTATTCTCTGCTTTTCTGACCAGGCCCACCTTTTTTTGCTTTGCTTTTTGTTTGTTTTTCAAGACAGAGTTTCTCTATGTAACAGCCCTGGCTGTCCTGGAACTCAGTTCTGTAGACCAGGCTGACTTCAAACTCACTGATATTCACCTGCCTCTGCCTCCTGAGTGCTGGGATTAAAGGGGTGTGGTACCACTGCCTCGATCAGGTCATGATTCTTCACCTCCAAACTTAATACAGAGCTGAGATGTAGCTCAGTGGTAGAGTACTCGCCTAGATGTGTGAGGCCCTGAGTTCAAACCACAGCACAAAGAAAAACACCTTACTAGAAATCTTCATTTACTAGATGTGTGACTACATAAAAGCAGACATAGACCAATGGGCAGAACAGAGACCTTAGCTACAGACTCTTGGATATGTGGCCAAATCATTGTGTGTGTGTGCATGACAAGACAGTTCCTGACATGACATCCAAAATTCACTTAAAGTGGATCACAGATAGATCTACAAGCAAGCCTTTACAATTCTTGGAAGAAAACAGGGCATCCGAGGGTATAGTTCAGTGGTAAAGCACCTGCCCAGCACCCACAGGCACCTCCATCCCCAGCACTAAAAACAGAAAAGAAAAAAGACTGTCAGGCATGGCAGAGACAGTAGGATCCAGATTATTCTTAGCTTCACATCAAGTTCCAGTCCAGCCTGGGCTACAGGAGACTTTGTCTCAAAATCTACAAAGGAGCTGGGCATGGTGGTACACACCTTTAATTACAGCACTCAGGAGGCAGGGGTGGTTGGAGAAGTCTTGTCTACAAATGGAGTGCCAGGCCAACCAGAGCTACATAGTGAGATCCTGGCTCAACATAAAATAAAACCCCCAAAAAACAATAAAAGAAAACTCAGAAACAGAGCCGGGCATTAGTAATACTTGCCTTTAGTCCCAGCACTCAGGAGGCAGAGTTCAAAGCCAACCTGGTCTACAGAGCGAGTTCCAGGACAGGCTCCAAAGCAATACAGAGAAACCCTGTCTTGAAAACAAACAAACAACCCCCCCCCCAAAAAAACATACAAAGGCAATGATTTCTAGGATTTAACAGCAAAAGACAGAACCAACAAATGAAAAAACAAACAAACAAAAAACAACGCCAGATTGGATTTCATGGACATTTCTTTTTTGAGTATTAAATGACTATTTTAAAAGACAATCCACTGAACCTGAGAAAATGGTCTGATAAGATCTGATAAGGCACTGATAGCCGAAATGTATTGAGAAGTCTTACACTCCGCATTAACAGGAGCAACCCAATTGAACACGAGCGATGTTCGGATCCTGAAGGTGGTTTATCAGGGATGGAGCAGGCGATCAGGAATATGAAGAAACAGCATGGAAGCCAAGTGTGGCAGAGAAGCCAGACTGCCTTCAGTCCAGCCTAGCTAAAAGCTAACCATTTTTTACCTCCCCTCCCCCCTCCCCGGCTGCAGCAAAGTAGGCAGCCAAAGGATTAACTCTTAAATCTACTGATCATTGGGGTGGCTGCTGCTGAGGACCCCCATGGAGTCCTGGGTGCCTAACTGCCGGTAACTCCATATCCCTATCCTGAGTGGTTTCACGTTCTGGACTCAGGCGGTTCGTTGGGTTCTCATCCTCCACCCGCGGAGAGACTGGCTTGCTGGCTACTGCAAAGGAACGCACCCCCACCCCCGCCCCGCACACACAGACAGACGTGCAGTGCAGCCTCTGGTTGCATTTAGTTTCTGGGTTAGCACCTCAAGGCCATCTGCAGTCTCTGAAAGCGGCCCACGTCTGGCTGAAGCGCCTGGGTGGAATGGGGGGTGGGGGGCAGGGCGGAAAATGGTGCAGGAGGTGAGGGTCTCCATTCTTCGGGCTACAGCGGGAGACCAGAGAGAGACACCACCGCTTGCAGATTAGAAACTAGGGAAAGAAGCCTCAAAACTGAGACGCCAGGCGAGGGATCCCCAGCCTTGAGTGTGGGGGTGGAGAATAGGGTCCTTCTCTCCGGGGGACCCCCCTCTGCTCTCACAGGGGCCACAGTCCTTCCCCTCCCCCCAAGCCCTGCGCCCTTGGCGGATTGGTCCCGAGCTGCCGGGGGGCGGGGCCCTATGGCCCTGACGTCACCGGTTGATGGGGGGGAGAGCGGGCGGCTGGGGGAGGGGGTGGCGAGCCCCGGCTCAGCACCTCGGAGAGCTCCCTCCCCGGCCTTGTTTTGCTCCGGAATCGCTGCCGGGGGAGGGAGCGAAGGGGCCAGGCACCAGGCGTCGAGGCCGAGGGATGGCAGTGAAGAGGACGAAGGGCCCCGGGGGGCAGAGGGCCCAGCCGTGATCCTGCGAGGGGGGCCAGGGCTCCGGGTGGGGTGGGGGGCAGCGGGCGTCGGCAGCAGTGGCCGCACATCTGAATGGAAGCGAGCTTTGTGCAGACCACCATGGCTCTGGGGCTGCCCTCCAAGAAAGCATCTTCCCGCAACGTGATCGTGGAGCGCAGGAACCTGATCACCGTGTGCAGGTGGGCGCCGCTGGCGGTGTGGATGGGGTGGTTAGAGAGAGGGGTTGGGGCGGGCTGAGAAATCTAAGGGTTAAACATGCCCACGGGGATGCTCTACAACCGCTGGCAAAAGGCAGGACAGCGAGGCTTAGAAGGAACGCGCTCACTCTTCTTCCCAGGCCCGCAGCCCGGAGGCGGGCTGGAATGCCGGTCCTTATTCTTTTTTGGCTAAACCAGGCCTATGCCCGGCCTGGGGTTTGGGGGCATGAAGAGAGTTTAATTGGCACTGCAGCTTCCTGTGAGAACCAGGAAGTGACATTGTGTGTGAGGGGGGGAGGGGGAGATGGCTGGCTCTCTTCCTGGCAGTGGGGGCAGGGTGGGCAGAGGGGACTCGATGGGGTTGGGGGTGGATGTCCTCCAAGTCCCCTCTTGCCATCCCTGACATCTTGGCCTCTTGGGGCGGAGCTTTCCTGAGAGACTTTTCTATGCTCAACCCTCCATGAAGCAAGGATGGTGTTTCTGAGCAGCTGCAGCCTGTGGCACAGCAGTAAAGCCCCCGAATCCATCCAGTGAAGGTCGAGGGCGCTACCCTGTTGTAGGAAGCATCCAAGGCCTGGTTGCAGAAGCCTGGGCCCCTGAGTCTGAGAGGAGATTGGGAGTCCAGATGCCCAAATCTCTGAGGGTGGGGCTGTTGCAGGGCTGGGGAAATTCTCAGCTTTCTTGGATACCAGGAAGTAATCCTTCCCACTTCAACCCTGCAGTGACTCACCCTCCTTGCCCTGCTCTGAGGCCAGAAAGCTGCCAGCTGTGCAGGCTCTCTCCCAAGCCCCACCTGTCCTTGCCTCTCCCTCCGGGATCTCCACGCCAGCTGCCTTCTCCACCTGCAGCCTCCATGCCCACCATGTCCACCAAATGCTTGGATTATATTGCTCCTGGATGCAGGGCTGATTGTCCTTCCTTGCCAGTCCCACCTGCCTGCACATAAGCCTCAGCCCTGTTCCTCCCCCCAGGAATCATGTCCACCTGATGCCCAGTCTCCGGCACCCAGAGCTCCTTGGATACCAGGGCACTTACCCACCCATGTTGTCTCTGTTTCAGAGCCTCCCCTTCCCAGTGTCTTGAAAGTGCTGTTCACACCAGCCCTGGGATGTGTGAAAGGAACGGTGTATTGATGACCTAGCCCAGAACACAGCTCCCTTCTCTGCCCTTATTCCCCATATCCTGTCAGTGTGGTGTCAGGAGCTTCCTGCCTTTGGATCCACACCTAGGGTCAAGCTTTTGCTCCAGTCCTTAGCTGTACCACCTTGTGGAAGTTTCCTAACTACTCTGTGCCTTTGGCACTTTATCTTAGATTTTACAGCTTAGATGTAAAAATCACACGTACCAAAGAATGGGTCATGGTGTGCCATGTTAGGTACTGGCCGGTTCCTGGCACACGGAAACAGCTAACTCAATGACACTCTTCTTGTCCCTCGGCCCTTGGCCATCTACGCACATCTTTTTCTTGCCTGCCAGGATAACCGGGGCTTTGATTGGGGGGGCGGGGCACTTGACCTAAGCTGGAGAAAGAGGTTCGGGTGACTTGGAGATAGCTCAGAGTTGGGGACAAGGTATAGTTTAGAGGGGTTAGGGACATGACAAATTCTCCAAAACCCCAGGGACCCCTGCTGCCTCATCACAGTCACGTGGTTCTCCTACAGCTCCCAGCAGCTCCCTTTAGCAGTCTGCAGGCTCCCCTGGGCCCTGGCCTCCCTGTCTCCATGGTAACCCACAGCAGCTATGCTCCTTCTAACCAGGCCCACACCATGGGGTTCCCAGAGGCTCTGACCAGCTTTCAGCTCCCCCAAGGACAGATGGCAGATGGCTGCCATGCTGACCAGGCCCCAGGCCTCTATTGAAGTCTGACACAGATGATCACAGATTGATAGTGTTCATAACAAAACCAATAACGGTCTGATAACAGTCACAGGCTACCTCCTGGCAGGGCCAGCCTTGACTCCTCACCTGGCCTGTGCCCAGCAATCCATGCACTCTCACCTTCTCCCACGTTTTCTGGGATCTGAACCAAAGTTGAATGAGGCAAGTGCTGATATTTCTGTTTGCACCCAAGGTACAGGCTTTGAATCCAGCAGCCTGCTTCTTCTCTCTAGCACAGTCCAAAACTCACTTGTCTGGCCTTAGGCTTTAGCCCTCTGGAGAAGCCCAAAGCAAGGTGGTGGAGAGAGGATTTGTTGTACTGTTGACTTGGGAGCCTTAATGGCCAGTGTTCCATTGAGGCTTCTAGAGCAGACAGACAATAGAGGGCAGAGGCTTCTTAGGGACTGAGCTTAGTACTTGTTTGTATGTGTGGGTTTTTTGTTTGTTTTGTTTTGTTTAGACGGCATCTCTATGTAGTTATGGCTGTCCTGGAATTCACTATGTAAACGAGGCTAACCTGGGACTCACAGAGATTCTCCTGCCTCTGCCTCCTGAGTACTAGGACCAAAAGCATGTGCCACCATGCTTGGCTAGTACTTTTTTAAAAGATGACTTTTGTTTGCTTATTTTGTGTGTGCATGTGCCACGGTGTGAGTACAGAGGCCAGAGGACAACTACTGATGGGAGTAGGGTCTCTCCTTCCACCATGGAGGTTCTGGGATTGAACTCGGATCGTTGGGATTAGTGGCATGTGTTTTTATCCACTGAATTAGCTTACTGGCCAAGTCTTGGTAATTATAACAGCCACTGGAAATCCATAAGGCAAAGCAGAAAGAGCCAAGGATGGAGAATGGGGCAAATGCTTGCCTCCTCCCAAGTTACCTGACTGATCACTCCATCTCTGGAGCCTTTAGCTTCCTTAGCTATAATATGGGGAAGGTGGTCATAAGAGGACCTACCTTCCAGGGCTGTGACGAGGACAGGTGGATTGATACGTATAGTCCTCGGCACATTGTACAGTTTGGTAAATGTGGATAGAATAAAAGGACAGATCTAAGTACTTCCTATATCCCTGGACACCCTACTCCTGCTCTGTCTGCAGAAACAGAGCAGTGATGAGATGTTGGGGGCTGTTTGGCCTCTCCTTGTTCCACTCACTGCCAAGATGGCAAGTGGAGAATACAGAGCAATGATGGCAGAGAATACAAGAGGTTTAAGCAAGGCTGGAGAGGGTGATGGGGGCTCCAACCCCTTGGCCTCACTTGCCTTCTTTGGCTCTTTCTCTCTGAGAAACCAGTGTCTGGGCCCCCATATCCCTTCCAGGGACCTACTGCCAGAGCTCCCTCCCACCTGATGGATGTTAGACCCACAGATTGCATTCCCCCCCCACCCCCAAGCTCTACACTGCCTAGCTCTGGGCAGCTGGTGTGTGGGTGGGCTAGCTGAGAAGGGACGGGGGAGAGGGATGCCCCGGAGCTCAGTATCCACCTGACCATGCATGACATTCCATGTGCACAGTGGTAGCTCATGTGCCCCAATGCCGGTGGCCCCCAGCCCCAGAGAGATGGGAGCTCATTCCAACAATGTTGAAGGACTGTTTGGGACATGGGTGCAAACTGGCTTCTAACTCGTGGTTGACCCTCAGTTCACATGCGTGGAAAATGCCACTCTGAAGGGTGGTAGGGACAAAGGTTCTGGGGACTATCTCCTAGGGCTTGCTGTCTTGTTTCTACACATTGTTTCATTCTCTCTCATACCTTGTCCCCAAAGCTTCCTTTCTCTGGCCACCTCTTCTGCACCCACTTTGCCAATCAGTTTCCTGCTCGTCCCCTCCCTGTTCCTGTCACCCTCTTATTCCACCTAGTTTGGACTCTTCTGTGGTCACTCAGGTTTCACCTGCCCCCACATCACACCCATGCCCTCCATGAGCCCTTCTCTGCCTGCCTGTAACTTCACCTCTGACACCCTGGCTCTTCCTCCCTGTTGGACCCTCTCCCCCCCCCCCCCCAGGTTCTCTGTGAAAACCTTGCTAGAGAAGTACACAGCAGAGCCCATTGATGACTCATCCGAGGAGTTTGTTAACTTCGCAGCCATTTTGGAGCAGATCCTCAGCCATCGTTTCAAAGGTAGGCCGTCATCACCCACCCACTCCAACCCCAGCCTGTGGCTTTCAGCCACCACCCTGCTCTGATGTTCTCTATGGATTTCTAAACCCCATCCCTGGTTCAGGGCCCCATTCTGGGCTGTACATAGAAACAAAAGCACACTGCCTGGAGACTGGGGAGAGGGTCATCTGCCCACAGCTCCATCACTGGGCGTGCTGGCAAGCCTGATGCCTACGCTGGGGGAGGCAGAATGTGTGTGTGGTGACTCATGCTTATAGATGTGAGTGTTGTATGACAGGGACCCTTTCCAAACTCCCTGGTCTCGCTGAGTCCCCTCCCTGCCCTGGCTCAGCTTGTGCCCCAGCAGGTCCAGCGAGCTGGTTCAGCTCAGATGGGCAACGGGGCTTCTGGGACTATATCCGACTGGCCTGCAGCAAAGTGCCCAACAACTGTGTGAGCAGCATTGAGAACATGGAGAACATCAGCACAGCCCGAGCCAAGGTGAGGGAGGGGCCACAGCAGGTGGCAACACGCCTCACCCCTGCTTTGGACATAGGGGCCCTGTCCTTACCCCTTGCCCACAGCACTGGGAAGGGAGACCATACCTGATGTTGGACAACTAAAGGTGACCATACTTTCTAGGGCAGGGCATGGATTCGGGTGGCTCTGATGGAGAAGCGCATGTCAGAATACATCACCACAGCTCTTCGGGACAACCGAACTACCAGGTCAGACCTCTCAGACCACAGTATGCACCTGCATTGCCTATGCCTTAAGTCCCCACAGCAACCTTTCATACCTGGACTACAAGTTCCAGCATGCACCGGTAGTCTGCTTCTCCCAGATGACACCTTTCATACCTGGACTACAAGTTCCAGCATGCACCGGTAGTCTGCTTCTCCCAGATGGCATGGTAATGGGACTGCAGAAGCCTCAGTCACATACCATTTTCCTTGGCCTTGTGCCATGACCTACAACACACAGCTCTGCCAGCTCTGCAAACAAAGGCAGTCACTATTCTTCCAAGAACAGAGTTCCAGTGTGTGGAGCTTCAGTGCTTGGCCTGAGGGTTTGCCAAGAAGGTGCATCCTGAGGGTCAAGGATCACAAGGCAGAATGTGTCATTGTTGGAGTGGGAAGCTATTGAGGGTGAGGGGGTCCCCCAAATCTGATAACTTTACTACATTCTCTCCCTAGTCTTCACATATCAAGAGTTGTCCTTTGAGGACCTACTGTATGTATGAGAAGAAGCACTAACCACTAAGACTTGCTCCCTGATTGAAAGGATTGAGGTGACCCAGAGCTTGATAGCGGCTGCTAAGCTTAGAGAACAGAAGAGTGTCACTTATAAGGAACATGCATTGTGATAGGTGTGGGGGTGGGGTCGGGCGCTAGTTCCCGTGAGTGAGTGACAATCCAAGCGGGAGACCAGGGCTGGCAAGCTGGAAGGAGGCATCTCTTTCCTCTAGGAAAGCTTGTAGTAAGTAAGCCAAGCAGACAAGTCCTGGGAGTGGGCCCCCTGGGAGTCTCGGTTCTCTCTCTGCAGACGGTTCTATGACTCCGGAGCCATCATGCTGCGGGAGGAAGCCACTGTCCTCACAGGGATGCTGATCGGGCTCAGCGCCATTGACTTCAGGTGGGGTCTGCATGGTGGTGGTGAATGGGACTTTCTCCTCCACAACTGTCCAACGCCCCTCATGCCCTCCTCCCACCCCGTGACTCTTCTGCCTCAGCTTCTGTCTAAAGGGCGAAGTTCTGGACGGGAAGACGCCGGTGGTCATCGATTACACACCCTACCTAAAATTCACCCAGAGGTGAGCAGCCCGGTTATTGCGGTGGGTGAGGAGATGGGCACCGGGAGGGCACTGAGTGTCATCCTGGTGTCACTGCCCAAGGGTCGGAGTTGGGGTGCTAGTGGGGCGAGGCGGGGCGGAGCCGGCCCCACCCACTGCTCCCGCTCCTAAGCTACGACTACCTGACGGATGAGGAGGAGCGACACAGTGCGGAGAGCAGCACCAGCGAGGACAACTCGCCTGAGCACCCCTACCTGCCTCTCGTCACTGACGAGGACAGTTGGTACAGCAAGTGGCACAAGATGGAACAGAAGTTTCGCATTGTCTATGCGCAGAAGGTGAGCGAGGCGAGGCGAGGCGAGGCGCGGGGAGATGGGCGTGGCGTGGGCAGGGTCCAGGCTGGGACACCAGCTGGGACCCCTTTGGAAGCTCTAGCTGAGCTGGCGCTGCTTGGTAGGGTTACCTGGAGGAGCTGGTGCGTCTGCGCGAGTCGCAGCTGAAGGACCTGGAGGCGGAGAACCGGCGGCTGCAGCTGCAGCTGGAGGAGGCTGCAGCACAGAATCAGCGGGAGAAGCGAGAGCTGGAAGGCGTGATCCTGGAGCTTCAGGAGCAGCTGTGAGCACGCCTCCTGCCCTGACCCGACCCGACCCCTGGGAACCCCAAAATCACTCCATTGGATGGCATCACTTTCCTTACACCAGCATCCCATTTGCATCAGCCCACCCATATCCCACTCTCCCGAGGCCTGTGGTTGCCAACCACTACCCCCGACATTAACATCCTGGAGCCTCCGTCACCCATCAGCCAGGGACTCCAGTCACTGCTGAAGTACCACATTACTCACAGGACCTCAGCGGCTGAAGCTCTTTTGTTCAGGCCTCTGATCTGCATCACCCAGCGATCCCACAACCTGGAACATTTCTCCCCTAAACTTGTTCCAGCTAGTTAACTAGCTAGCACAATTCCCACCCACCCTCTCCACTTTCCTCTCTACATCACCCCAACTAAGTCTTAAGCACTCCAGCCCTCCAACTCCCAACATGAATGCACTAATCCTGGCTACCCCTCTGTCCCCAGGCTACCCCTACACTCCCTCCAGGATCTAACGCTGCCTCCCTGGCCCCTTTAGAAACATGGTGTCACTAATTAGCAGGCCTCAGACTTGTGCTCCTTCTGCCTCCACCCCCTAATGCTGCAAACTCCAGATCTGGGCCATCATCCCTGAGCAGTGTATATCCCAATTTTTACCACTCAGGCTTCCTTTCTAAGCCCTGGCCCCCACCTTTGCTGAGTCTTGCTTCCCTCTCCCAGCCAGGCCTGATCCCCCTCCCCCTCCCAGGACAGGTCTGATCCCCGGTGACCATGCCCCCCTGGCCCAGGGTTCCAAGGAGTTCACTACACCCCTGGTCAACCAATGGCCTTCCCTGAGCACACTCAATAGGCCTGAGGGTGCCAGCAACTCGAAGCTATATCGGAGGTAAGCCCCAACCCAATTGCTGCCCTCAAACTCCCTCCCAGGAAGCAAGGCCTGGAGCTATGTACCACGGCCTGCACGCATTTCTGTCCTGTCATAGACACAGCTTCATGAGCACCGAGCCGCTGTCTGCAGAAGCCAGCCTGAGCTCAGACTCCCAGCGTCTGGGAGAGGGCAAGCGGGATGAGGAACCCTGGGGCCCCATTGGTGAGCACACCCCCATACATATACCTTGGCATTTCATATACTTTAGAAAATTGCTGGGGGTCTATAGTGAGAGAATGGCTGAACTGAAGGGTCTCTTAGCCCTTCCTGTACTTACATTACAGCACCAATGAGGAGCTTGCTTTGGGGTTTCAGAGAACCAAGTGCAAATCTAGGCTGCACCCCCTCACCTGCAAGCTTGGTCAGTCTCTTCACCTTGCTGTAAAATAGGGACATTGGTGAAAAGAATCTCATGTCCATTTATGGAGAGGGCTCAGTGACCTTTTAGTATCATGTGATATCCTCACAGGGCTCATACTCCAGAGAGTCCTCAGCCTAGTTTGCTCTCACGGTATGCACACTGTGAACTGCTCGGCTGACCAATGTTTCCCCCTTTTCTTTGGTGCCAGGAAGCTCAGAACCAAATTAGTGGCTCCCTCCGAGTGAATGCCCAGGACTTCCGCGCATGCGTTGTGTTACCTCACCCCTGGCTCCAACTTGGTTTCTCCCTTCCTAGTTTTCCCCATGCCTGGACTTCTTTTTTTTTTTTAATAGATATATTAACTCCACTGTACCAGATAACTGGATTTTGAGACACTGCAGGCTTTGGACATGTAATCCACCACACTGTGTTTGTGACTGTGTGTGTCTCCCCAATCAGACTGTGAGCTCCAAGAGGGCAGGAATCATGTCTTGTCCATTCTCTGTATTCCCAATGTGAAACAGAGCAAATGCTTACTGTGTGCTTAATAAATGGACAAAGAGGCTGAACCTCAGGGGGAGACCAGAGACATGACCGGATGATTACAATACAGTGTCCCAAGCCCAAAGTAAGGCACACGCCATCAGGGTTTAATGGCAGATGCTTCAGAAGAGGCCAAGAGTCTCCTGGGAGTGACCTGAGAATTGTCCTTTTACTGCCCATCCCTGAAATCCTCTGCCCCACATCAGCCTGGTTGGCCCAGCCTCACCCGCCCTCTCTCCCCAGGGAAGGACCCCACGCCCTCCATGCTGGGCCTCTGCGGCTCCCTGGCTTCCATCCCCAGCTGCAAGTCCCTGGCCAGCTTCAAATCCAACGAATGCTTGGTGAGCGACAGCCCCGAGGGCAGCCCGGCACTTAGCCCCAGCTGAGGAGCAGCACGGGCAATGCCTGCCCCACCTGCCAGGGGCCACGGACAACGGTCACCTGAGTCCCCCAACCCAGGCAACCCTTCAAGGATGCTGACCATCTAGCCGAGGGTCTCTAGGGAAAGACAACCCAAGCCTCTTTCCTGCTTCAGCTTCCCACCAAGGAGGCAGGAGCTGCATTGGCAAGTGGTGGCACCAGGAGGAAGGGGCACCCAGGTCACAAGTAGCCAGTCCCCTGGGAAGGCTGCTCCATTCTGGTGGCCCTGAAGTCTGCCTGGTTCCTTTTGCTCATGTTCCACACCTGCCTCAGAAGCAGGTGGTCCAGCCCTGGCATTCCTGCTGCCCTGCCTCTGGTCTATCCCTGTGTACCCTCTGAAGTCATCCTTCCTTGGTACCTATGTGGGGAGATTAGGCAAATAAAAACCAGAGGACTGAGGTGGCTTCATCTGTTGGGGAGTGGGGTAGGGCTCCATAGCAGGCTCTCTAAATAAAGGTAATGGGGCAGGACTAGCATGTGTCCTATGGGAGCAAGTGGGCCATAATTCAGGGCAAGGGGGGAGGGGCTTCTTTCTGGCTCTGACCCCTCTAGTATTTTCTCAAGCACTAGCAGAGCCCTCTGACGGTGTGCCTTAGTGGGACATTTGCCTGCCATAGGCATATGCAACTCCATTGTGGGTCAGAGCTGCAGTCCCATCCATTGTGCCAGAGCTGGCAAGCAGGGGACTCTGCTCCAGCAACACCACCTTGGCGTGCGCTTGCTCTCACGCCAACACAGTGGCCCAGCATGGAAGGACCTCTTCACCATCTTTCACCTTTGTCCTGTCTGACTGGGTACCACGTAACGTGGGAAACTTTTAAGACAGGGTATTTAGCTGGCCTGGGGCTCACTGTGCAGACCAGGCAGGCTTCAGACTCAGATCCACTTGCCATCCAATCTCTAGTGCTGGATTGAAGGTGTGTGCCACCATGCCAGGAGTGGCAGCCTTTTTTTTTTTGACAGAATCTTGTTATGCAGTCCTGGTTGACCTGGTGCTTGAGGCAATCCCTTTGCCTCAGCCTCCCAAGTGCTGGAATAACAAGTGTGGGTGACTGACTGGGGACCCCCAAATGCACACACATACCCCAAGACACCGCAGTCACAGCAGTGCACAGAAGGTCATCTTTAGACAGGGAAATAAACAGAGCTGCCTGGCCCGAGATCTTGATTCCTCGGGGCCAGGCTTCAACAAACATAAAGGGTTACAAAGAAAGGGGCAGCTGTCAGATTTGGTCTTGAACTTGGAGGTGGACGAGTGGTGACCGTGGTAGGGAGAACAGCAGGAATCAAAATGTGAGGGTAGCCTGGGTGACTGGGTTGGGGAGGAAGGCACTTGGCTCAGTCTCCTGTCCCCACCCGTTCAAGAGCTGGTTGCTCCTCGCCTTTCAGGAGCCCAGAGGCTGTTCCTGGTTGAGCCTCTGGAAGAAACTTTTGCCAAACTCGTAAGTGCTGATCATGATGGCACACGAGGGAGCAGCCTTGATGATTCTTGGGAGGAACCCTGTGGTGGGAGGACATACCTTGGTTAGAGGCTGGGTCTCTTCACAGATATAACATGGAAGTACACACACAGTACATGTGCACACAGACAGTTACCCACCAGCAAACAGTCCTCTGGTGCCCGATTCCGCCTTGATTCTCCGAAGCAGGAGCCAAGTGGAATCAATTCTTGGGGGCTTCACTACAGATTCAAGACCCAGTTCATTAGGACTCAGTTTGGGCCCCTGCCTGCCCCCCACCTTGACTAGCCCAGCTCACCTCTCACAGCCTCCAGTGCTCCCAGTGTGATCTGTCGCTGTGTCTTCACCACATCAAAGGGCAGAGTAAGGGTGGCAGCCACCTGGTGGGGTGGGGTGGGAAGAAGGCTCGGCTCCATTCCCAGGGCCCCTGTCCCAGCTCTCCCATAGCTCGTGGGAGGGACTAAAGCATCTCAAGGGTGGCTGAGGAAAGCAAGCAGGCTCCCTAGCAGAGACTGCTATATGTGAGGGCCTCCTCTGGTGGCCTCACCCCCAACCCAGTCAACTCACCATTCCTGAGATGCCACCAGCTACAAAGCTGACGCCCACAGATGTCTGGTCTTTTGGCCCATTCAGCCAGCTCTTCACCAGCTCATAGTTGAACCAGTACAGAGCTTGGGAAGTAGAGACATTCATTAAAGGTGGGAGCCAGGGAGTGGGCTCCAGACTTCTCATCTCCCACCCACAGCCAAACCACCCCAGGTGGTGCCTGCTTTGTACCTAGCCAAACCCCTCTCTGCCAAGTCCATATCACAAATAAGGAACCCAAGGCTCAGAAGTGATGAGTTCATGGTCATTAGTAACAAAGGAGAGACTTGTGTGTAGAGACCCCTTCAACATTATCCAAAGCCTCTTTTACCCTATGCCCTGAACAAAAGTGCCTACCTGAGAAGGGCACATCTCGAAGGGCTGTGGGACCCCAGCCAAGCCACAGTGAGCGCCAGCCCCCCTGAGCCACCGCAGCTTGAACACAGGTAGCTAGCTGCCGGTATGACACGTGCTGAGCCTGTAGCTTGGTCCGCACAAGCTCCAAGGGGCTGATGACTGTCACAGTGCCCACTATGGTTGGTAAGATAGTAGAAGGTCAGGCCACGGATGCCATGCATCAAAACCCAGCTCTTGCCCCCGGGTCTGAGGGTTAGCATAATACCCCCACCCCCAGGCAGAGGCTGGCACTGGGACCCAGGAGGGACAAAGGGAGGTCAAGAGCCAGGGCTGTGCTCACTTCGGGCGAGGGCACCAGCCACCATGGGTGCGTAGAGGTCAGAGGTCAAGGATTGACCACACAGGAAAGCCTTGAGTTGGTCATAGGCAGTGAAGTAGATGGCAGTAGCTGGCACAGTCATCACCCTGGGCATACCAAGAGGCCAGAAAAGTCACCTAAGGACTCCCAGTTCTTTCAAGCACTCCCTCCCTCACCCTGCCAATAGGAGTCAAGGGAAGGAAACACCCCATGGAGGGGGCAGGAGTACTCACAGGGTGGCTGGGAGGCCGCTCCACAGGGTCCTAGTGCCCTCATGCCTCACTATCTTCACAAAGGCATCCTGACGAAGCCAGCAAGAGCCCAGAGGAAAGATAGACATGAACAAGGTCTGTGATGGGCTGGCTCAGAGCTAGTTGGCCCTCAGGTCCTGATAAGAGCTAGCTAGCTAGCCCTCAGGTTTCCACACGCAGCTACCCAATTGGTTCTAGGTGGACTCCTATTCACCCTTTAAAACCTTAAGGAGGGCTATGGTGCAGAGTGCTATTCAGTAGCAGAGGGCTATTCAGTAGCAGAGTGCCAGACTAGTGTGTATTAAGGTCATGGTTTTGATTCTCAGCACCAGGACCAAAAATTCTTCTGAAAGAATCCCAGGCAAAGCCCGGTGGTGGTGGTGGCACAAGCCTTTAATCCCAGCACTTGGGAGGCAGAGGCAGGTCAATCTCTGTGAGTTCAAGGCCAGCCTGGTTTATGGAATGAGTTCCAGGACAGGCAGAGCTACACAGAAAAACCCTTGTCTCAAAAAACAAACCAAGCCAAGGGGTGGTGGTGTACGCCTTTAGTCCCAGCACTCGGGGAGGCAGAGGCAGGCGGATCTCTAAGTTCGAGACCAGCCTGGTCTACAAGAGCTAGTTCCAAGAGCTAGTTCCAGGACAGCCTCCAAAGCCACAGAGAACAAACAAAAAAACAAAACAAATCCCAGGCAAGCCCTCCCTGCACAGAACAGTCCACCATGCCCCACACCTGCAGCCTAACCAAAGCGAGTCACTCAGTAAATGGTTGCTCCTTACCAAGGTGCCAGTGAATCGGGTAGGATCCTGAAACCAGGGGGCACAGCGAGTACCATTAGGGCAGAGGTACAACGGCTCCAGGACACCATTGCAGTATAGGAGGCACTTCCCTGGGGATTGCAGAGTAGAGGGAGCTGGGGAAGGGGATGGACATTAGCACGGCAGGGCCTGGAAAACTGCTGGGTGACACAGCTGGGTCACTATGTGGATATTCCTGTGTGGGGCATTAGGCTGGCTAATGTGACCTCAAGGTGTATACTAGTCTATGACCATGGTACCCCATGTACTCTAGGGACACACCTTCCACAGGGGTAGTTTGGGGCACTCACATTTGGTGTAGAAGAGACTCCAGAATCTGGAAGGCGTCAACTCTGAAACACAAGTTATCCATGGTGATCAGGAATAACCCCCCCATACTGGGATCCCAAGCTCTGGGAGATCCTTATTTTGTCAGGCAGCCCCCTCAATCTGGCTCCAGGTTCAGGTACTCACCGCTGGCTACTGAGGGCCTCTGAGACTGAAGGCGGACCTTCACCACATCCAGGGGTGTCACTGGGGAAAGAGGTAGGAACCAAATTGCCTCCAACCTCTAGTTCACATCAACCCCCACCAGCCCACATCCCATCTCCCTAGGCCTTACTGAAGAGGGAGGTGACCACAGCCCCAGCTCCTGAGGCCACCATTTGCTGAACGGGGCTAATGCCCCCAGGATCCTGATCGTCCATCTTGGACTTTCAATCCTGAAAAACAAACCGCGGTCAAATGGAGCTTGCCCTCTGATAAAAATGGCCTGGGGAGCCTGGCGGTGGTGGCACATGCCTTTAGTCCCGGCACTCAGGAAGCAGAGGCAGGTGGATCTCTGTGAGTTAGGGACCAGCCTGGTCTACAAGAGCGAGTTCCAGGGCAGCCTCAAAAGCCACAGAGAAACCCTGTCTAGAAAAACAAAAGAAACAAAAAAATGAGGAGCCGGATGGTGGTGATGGTGGCCATAGTGGTGACGGTGTCGTGTCGCACACCCCTTTTATCCCCAGCACATGGCAGGTGGATCTCTGTGACTTCGAAGTCAGCCTGGTCTACAGAGTGAGTTCCCGGACAGGCTCCAAAGCAATACAGAGAAGCCATGTCTCGAAAATACAAAAACAAACAAACAAACAAAGGCCTGGGGAGAGACAAACATGAGGTAAGACACGTTGGGACTTCACCAGGGGTGCACTCAGGGCTCATCCAGCGCTTGCCTCCATAAGGCTTCAAATTCGTAAACGGCTTCACTTTGTCAAAGGGGAAACTAAGGCTCAAGAGATGCGGTGACCTTCAAGGTTACACCATTAGTTTGGAAAGAAGGTCCAAGAGCCGTTGGCCAATGGCATTTCCTCAGCCACATGCCTACTATGAACCTCCGGACCTCAGAGGCCAAAAGATCAAAACACCTGAGCCTTGCCCCTCCACCTAACACCTGGGCGGGCACATGGGCGCCCTGGGCGAGGTGGAGTTGGGCATGAGAAGAAACGGGTAAACAAATCTGGCGATAGAGAGGAAGGTCGCTTCCCTCTAGAGATTGATCGCTGGCCCTCCCCCACACGGCCAGCCCAGGCCACAGAGGCCAGGCTCGG